GAGATAGGACTGGGATTGCTTATCAATTAGTATCATGGGGGAAAATGAGCTTGCCACTAGATAGATATTTATTGCTAATTCACGTAGTGGAGGAAAAAAAAGAAAGGCAAATGTGCCCTTTTTCCAGGCTCCACATCACTCCTGACTCTCCCCACCTGAGCCACACAAGGGGTGTGAGGAGTCGTGGTCAGTCCATAGTGTCTCCTCTCTGCTGCTCCTTCGTGCTCATGCTTTCTGCCTGCTCCAGCGCAGGTCCTCTCCACAGGCTGCAGTTCCCTTGGGATATATCCTCCTGCTCCAACGCAGGTCCTCCATGGGCTGCAGTGTGCAAATCTGCTCCATGATGGAGTACCTGCTCTTCCTCCTCCTCCTCCTCCTCTCACCTTGGAGTTCCCTGTGCTGTTTCTCACTCCTTTTGTTCCCTCCTCCTCTTTCCCTCCAGCTTTTTCTGCTCTTTCTTAAACATGTTTTCACAGAGGCACCACCATCTTGGCTGACAGGCCCAGCCGTGCCCTGCGGTGGGTGCATTATAGCCGGCTGGAACTGGTTGGAGCCAGCCAGAACTGGCTGGAACTGGCTGGAACCAGCTGTGTCTGGCACAGGGCAGGCCCTGGACTTCCCTCACAGAGGCCCTGCAGCCCCGGCTGCCAGCACCGATACCCAGAACAACTCCCTGCGTTCTCTTTCCTTTGAGTAGATTCTGGAATTATTTGGTCGACAGCTGTGCCATCTTCTCTCAGAGTGGATGGGAAGAGCAGTGCAGAGAGTCCAGCTGCTCTCACACGGCAAGGGAGCTCCTGTGGGCAAGGGAGCTCCTGCGGGCAAGGGACAGCCATTTTAGCTGGGGGTCAAGATGGCGGGGGACCCCGAAACCGTCAGAGTGGTAGTTTGAAAACCAATGGCTTGGAAGGGATTTATGTATCAGAAGCTGGAGGACGGTTAAGAGGGTCAGTGAAGTGTAGACTCAAGAGGGGAGAGTACAAAGAGGAGACAAAAGTCTGTAGGAAATCATGGCTTTCTGACCCGGCTGCCCCTGAGGTGGCAAGCGTGAGCCGTGAAGGCCACTCGTGGCAGAGGCGGCAGTAGCAGCTCCTCAGCCCGAGCCTGTCCCTGTCCTCCTGGCTCCAGAGACAGAATATGCAGGACATACTTCTCTGTATTGTTGAGACTCATGTCATAATATGGTACTGCTTAAAAAGTTCATCGTAGTTTGGTCCTGACAGTCAGTGCTGATAATTTCAGCAAATATTGGACTGAGCAAGGCCATCATGGATACTATATGTGGTGGGACATGCAAAAGATGCAGCATTTCCATAGCAAATTTCACTCCTGTTTCCATTAAGAGGCTTCTACAAAATTAAAGTTACATATTTGCATCTAAGGAAAGTGTATTTGTTCAATGCATCCCAAAATAGCTCAGTTTTCAACTGAGTTATAGATAAATTTTTTAGATCTGTGTGTAGACTGCATTGAAAATGTAGCCTGAAAAGGGAAAACATTGTAAAGCCGTGATTATTTGAAAGTAATCCCAGTGGAATAATGTATAGATCTTCAACCCAGGCAACAACCATTCAGGGTTTCGTGATATTAGAAGCACGGCAGAAATCTCTACTCTGAAACAACCAGCACTGTTCTGTGTCTACGTTTGTAAACATGCAATATCCAAGGAACATCTGATAGACATCAGTAGAGGTTTGATCATGACTCATTGGAGCTTATTCCTCAAACCTGCTAAGGCATGAGTCTTCTTGATTGGCAAATACAATTGATCATTTTGCAATTGTCTTTTGAAATATGATTTTAACTGCAGTTCCAAAGTACGGTATACCAAGCTACCACAGAAAATGTCTCAGGGAAGAGCAGACATGGAACATGAGGTGCATGAAGACTCTCTTGCAGCTATTTCTAATCTTGGTAATTGAGATAATACTGGGTATCATCACTAATAAAAGTGAATGTAATTTCTGTCAGATGAGTGGGATTATCCTGGTTTAATTGGCTAGTGATCTGGCTTGTGCATGTTGATGGCCTTTATACAATTTCCTAGCACAGGTTAATATCTGCTGCTATTAGTTATGCTGTCAAAGAGACAGCCCAGGCTGAGCCTCTTGTTTCTTACAAGCAACTGAGTAAGACTATGAAGATATTTTCCAAAAGTGAGGCCTAATGGCTTTTGATGAGGCTTATGTACAACACAAAATTTATCATTCATTATGGATAGAAAATTAATTCAAAAGCTCTTTCTCTCATTTGCTTTGATATTGAAAATGTATTTGTGCAAACAAATACCTACTTCTGAGTTGCACAATTCGGTATTCTGTATGTAAAGTGCATAATAATAAGCTGATGTCATGTGATTTTGGTTTCTGCTCTTTTTCTAACTCACTGACAGTTTAAAAGCAGGACAATAATGAATCACAAATAACAAATGGTCTTTTTACACCAAAGTGCCCTATTTTATACACATGAATCTTTCCACTATTCTTCCAAGATAATTTTGAACTGAAATCTGTTCATACGTGTAATACTAAGTAATAAGGGATAGCAAAAGAGCATAACAACAGCCCAGAATTAATACTTGATATTAGCCTGTATGGACTAACTCTGAAATTCCTGGAAGAGGAAATATAGCACTTTTTTTCCCCAGTTTTCCTTCTTCTTTCTTATACCTTTTAAATTTAGACACTTTCCTGGTACGCTTTTCTGCTGCACATCTGATTTATTGTGGGAAGAGAATTTCAGTAAATGATACTCATCTTTTGAGTCCCATGGGTGGAAGGAAAGATGTACCAGTTTCCATTTTCAATTATTTTCTTTTTTGACCTGTGCCTGGAAGAAGACTCTGAATTTAGAAACTGAAGACATTGCTTGTAACTTGCAACTAGCAGAGCCAATTGCATTTGTTGAGCTTGAGGAAGAAAGTTGAAACAAAACCAGCATCAGTTGTAGGAAAAAGATATTCTTGATATGTTTGGTAACGGCAGGAATGAGTTTACATACTTGACAAATGAGTAGGATAAGAAATGTCACCAAAAAGGGACTCTCCAGGGTCTACTGACTAATCCTTAAGTTTTTAAAATTATTTTCTTATTTTATCTGGTATTATGTCTACAGGGAATAAAAAAAAATTAGGCCTAAATTCAGTGAAACCATTAAGTACATACTTAAGATAACCTCACGTTTAAATGTTCTCGGCATGTTCTTTACATCTGCAAGACCAGTTCGAAGGCTGTTGGGATTTGATGGAAGTTCTAACAGCACAGAGTGGTCAGAGATAACATGTATTAATTCTGCTGATGACTGGAACCTGCAGAGCTGTAGTCCTGGCTCTTCCACATGTTTCTGAACTGCAAAGGGAAATGATATAAATGCAAAAGGATTCAATATACTTTGTATATTTGTTTTAAAGGTGAAAATCCTATTATACTAGTTATATATACTAGTATCAGCTAACAGGCAATGAGTTTCTTAATTTACCACCATCCTTCAGAGGTGATAATAATTAAATGCTGTCACAGCATCCATATTTCCATGGCAATATCTCTATCGTCAGAGTCTTCAGAGAAAAACCGATTACTTTATGAGCAGTCCACTGTTACTGCCGCTTGGCAGAGAGAGTTATAGGCTAAATATAGAAATGTCTGTGTTTTATCAGAGGTCAGATTAGAGCCTCCAGCCTTAATATCTATACATTTTACACTGCTTTCTGTAGAGATGATCAGGGAACATTACATTAAAATAATAATTTTGTATTATTATATAGCAATGTCTATAAAGTGTATCTTAGAAAAGCATTCAGCTAAAGCAATATTATCAAGTTGAATGTTTTGAGCTATTTTAAACACTTTTTCAGATATCGTTCCTTTGAATAGTGTGCCTGGAATATTTACTTGAAACGTGCCCGAGTCTATAGAGAGGAACAAAAGGAACAACCTTCAATTTATTCTCCTTCCCTTTTCTCCTATTTCACACCATCCACCTCTACAGGATTGTTTTGGTTGCTAGTAACAGGATTGGCAGACACCCTGCTGCATGGCTTATGGAAAGGGCATATGTCACCACCAAACAGAAAGCTGCAGTTTCCTGAACTCGAGTCAAGTGCACACAGAAAATATCCCTTTATCCCTTTGGTTTCTTACTTGTTACAGCACCTTCTGGTAACTCCCCTTTTTACACATATAATTTTCAAGTTGACAGTGTCCTTCTAGTTTGGAATTCAGGGGATTTCTAGTATTTAGGTTTGAGTCGGTTGGTTCATTCCTTTCACTTTACTAAGATTAATGTGAAAACATGAGTATAGATGAAAAAGTTTTTTCAGCTGTGGAAATGCCAGAGAAGATTGCATCACTATAACAAAACAGAAAGCAAAATGAGAACTGTTACTTATGATTATTACACTGATTTAGTGATAAACTTTGCTTTAAAGGTAGTTTGTGTCCTATTCAGGAAATTCTATACAACAGGTTTTGCCAAGTAAACTTTTTCCCTCTATAACATTAAATCCTCGTGAATTTGTCATTTAAGCAGCTTTTCTGATCGAGACAGATCCTTGTGCCTGTTGAAGTAAAGGATAAAATTTCACTTCACTGGGGCAGGACAAAGCATAAACTTGTGAGATGCAAAGTGGTGTGTGATTTAAAGTTAAGAGCAAAAAGCCTCTATGTATTTTTCTTACTTGGACAGCATTCTTTTGAAGTTGTCCTGGGATTTACAGACATGCTTTTGCTATTTCTTTTAAGTATGTTGACCAGTCTTTATACTTCTATCAATCAACTTCAAATAATTCAACTGGAAACAATACATTAACTTGATAAGGACACTGGTTCGAGTCAGCTGATTCTAGCAATAGCCTGTCCATTTTATATTAATAGTTGTTTTTATCTCCTGTGCACATATTTAAATCAGTATTTATTAATTTAGTTTTGCAGATTATGACAGGGAATTTACTTGTTTGCCACCTTGTCTTGCTAATTGCATATTGATTTCTTCCCTGTAATTAGGATATGATGCTTCAGCTGTTTCGGGGACTGGATTTTCTGCATTCACATCGTGTGGTGCATCGGGACCTGAAACCCCAGAATATCCTTGTAACCAGCAACGGGCAAATAAAGTTGGCTGACTTTGGCCTTGCACGAATCTACAGTTTTCAGATGGCTCTTACCTCAGTGGTAAGTTTCTGGAGGCTTATATTTTTCTTTTAATGCAACGGTGTGCTTTACTCTCCGTGTTCCTGGTTTTTTATCCTATATTATAACGCTGCTTCTAAAACCAACTCAACAATTGAAGTTACTTGTGTCTCTGACAACAGTTACTTTCCAGCCAGGATTTAAGTCAATGTCGTTACTTTGTACAAATAATCTATTCCTGATTGCTGGTTCTAACTTAAATCATGACTGATTACTGAGGGGTAGATATGTGCTAGCTTTCTGCAACTCCGTTGGTCTGTTGTGATACTGACTTCTTTTCATGTTAAGCCAGACAGGTAAGGTGGAAATTTTTGAAGTCCCCAGGTATCTTGCCTGAAAAAATACACAGATACTTGTGAAAATGCCACACTCTCATGCCTCTGATTCTCCATCTCTGTGAATATGGGTTTAGTGCTTGCTCCCATATGTTACAGAGTGATTCCAAGCAGGGCTGTGCTGGAGGCAGCTCAAGTGGGCCTGGCAGCCAAAATCCCAGCTATTTCCCGGGCCAGCTGTTAAAGACCACCCCCAGTATCTGCAGGCCCCCTGCCACTGTTGCCCCCCTCCCAGCAGCTCTCCTGGTTGTCCTTGGCTCAGACATGAGCTCCATCCCAGAAGGTCTGGCCCTCTCCTGCATTAGTGCTGGTGGAGAAGCCCTGCCAGCTCCTCACTTTTTGACCCCATTTCCACACTTCCTGGCCCTGCCCCCAGAACCAGCTGCTGTTCACTTGGCACAGCGTCTCTGAGTGTACTGAGGAGTGACCGTGCTGCAGGCATCTTGGGTATCATTTGATTTTGTTGCCCGCTCATGACTTCTTTTGTTTCCATTTTCTGTTCTGAGTATCAAAACTGGCGTGGTGGTATCACTTACGCTAAAGACAGGGAAGGGAGAGCTGCTGAGAAAAGAAACTGAAAGAAGTCCACTTTGCATTTTACATTGTACTGTAGAAATTAGCCTGGCTCACGTTGATACAAAGCAATCCATTGTTATTATTAGTTGCTCTAAGAGTCTTCCCATCGTTGTGTGATGTAACTATGACATCCTGGGTTCCAGCTTCAGTGGGAATAAAGTCAGGAAACAACAGAAAATTATGTCATCATCTTGCTAAATGTAGGAAAGTATCCTCATCACGTAAGGCATATGTAAACTTGTTTTGGGGCTGGTTTTTTTCATTGCCTGTAAGATGTAGCCTAATCCAGAACTGAAAGAATCTCTCTGCTGAGTTCTGTGAGGATTGATCATGTTGTAACTCAGAGATTTAAAGAAAAGGAGATGAAGGTTGTTCCTGAATCGCTGTAATTTTTCACTTCCTAGTTATCACTCAGTAACAGCTTCAATGGGTATTTCTATTGATCCATAAAATTATTTAAGCTGTTGTATGGCTTCCAGCAGGGCATTTTTTAAAAGTTCTGCATAAAAATGAGGAAAAAATATCTACAGAACTGATCATGTAGCCTGCATAGGAAGGAAAATCAAAAGACCCAGAAATATAGTGCATCTACTGAGGCAAAAACATCACCTTGCCAGAACTGCTGTGCAAAGGATGTGCGTAGGATCAAGTATCCAGTACTTGCATACAAGAAGTTGTGTTCCAAAAGCCATGAGCTGGAACCCTTAGTGCTGCTGTGAACGTGAGCTGTGCAGACTAAGGGTTTGTCCACACGCAAGGTTGTACTGTGTTCACACACGCATTCAGTTGTCATTGCAGCTCTACTAAAGAGTATTAAAATAATTTAATTACTCAGTGACCAATGACAAATAAAGTATATGGCCATAGACGTGAATACTGGCTTTCACACCTAGAACTTGATGTATCCTTTTTTTTAATTTAAAAAACCAGCTACGACCGGGGCTTTTTTAAGTTAAAAATTTATTGGTTTTAAAACACTTAGTGTTTAACACCTTCAAAATCAACTTTTGTCTGGATATGTAGAAACACGGCTCCTACAGACTGAACGCTGGTTAGAAATGTTTAGTAAATGCGTATTAGCTGACACAGGACATCAGTTTCCCTTTTCTGCATGTAACTTTTACCTTTGCCTAGCTGGTGTGTATTCTTATCTTTTTCCCCGCCATTAAAACTCAGTATAGGAAGCAAAACTTTTTAAAAAAACAACTTCTGTTTTTTAAACATAAAGATATTCTTGACTTTGCCATTTCCAAACTAGTCTAAATTGCAGTTCTTCACCCGGCAGTGGGTAAATTTTCACTGACTTTGTTTTGAAGTGTTTGCAGGAAAAAATGTTACATTGTAATAGACAGCGTATATGTACACATACATGAATTAATGAAAGTCATAGTTTGCAGGGATTTGCTTTGGAGTTATATTGAGAAGTGACAGTGCAGCCAGCCCAGTGCACACGCTATCGTTGTGACCAATATAAGGGCTCTGCAGCATTTTCTTCAGCAGAGAGGCTTACTGCAAGATAAACTACAAGAACCATCTTTTGAAGTAGCAGATCATTCCCAAGGTGCATCCTCATTCATTGCTCACAAAGGAACTCTTCAGATGGGACAAAAAGAGATTGCCATGAAAGTAATCTGGTAAAAACTGATCCAACCCAAGTATCTGGGTGCTGCAAGTGGCAACTTCAAAGCAGGCTCTCTCTGGTAGCCAGTGACTTCCCCAATGCTAAAGAATCCTTCCGGCAGACCCGCCGTCTGGGCACGTTGCTGCCCTTTAGAGAAACCTCTGATATTTCTGTCAATGAATGAATAAAAGGTTCAGCCTAACACTAGGCAAGCTTGCGGGGGGCAGGGTGGCGATCACTCCTCCCAGCTGTGGTCAGGCTGAGAACTGATACGGGTTTGAAATAACAGCAGGAGAAAGAAGGAGGTTGGGCGGGGGTGTCTTGGATGGTGGGTAATGGGCATGCTTCTGGTTTCATACAAAGTTAGGCTCTTGTTCAAGTGTTGGTCTTGGCCCTTGGGGAAATGTTGAATAGGCTTTGTGATAACAGAGAAGCTCCACAGGGCAGAGAAGGTGGATTGATGTAGCTGTGTAATTTTAGAGTTTGAGAGCAAAAGCTAATGAACTGTCACTTTTTTTCATAGTGCAGAAAAATGGGCACACGGTTCTAATTTTCTCTGAGCAAAGGAGCAAGTGGCTGTTTGGAAAATCTGTAGTTACATTATGAAAAAGAAGTAAGCTGTTTAGCTATTTTTGCTGACTTCGGACTGCCTTAAAGAAAGGAAATGAAGCTGAACCATGGCACATGAGAGTGCTGCGTGAGATAAGCGCACACAGTTGTGATCTAGGTGGAGCGGAGGCCGTCCACCTTTTAGACCTGACCTGCATGAGGATCTGAGGGAACCTGGCAAAATGTTAGTGTTTGTAACACGCTCATAATACTTTCTTTGAAAACGTGTGCTTTACCTTAGATGGCAGCACTACTGATGGGATATTTTTTCCATGACACGCAAACAGAATTGCTTTATGTCTTCCTTCTTAAAAAAAACACTTGTTTTCAGATTTACTGAACATCAGAAGGGAAAACATATCACTTTCTCTGCTGATACTCTAAGTTGTTGGATACTACACGTGGATATATTGAAGAAAAGACCCCAAAAAATCCCACAGTTACTGTCAGTGAATAATTTTAGATTACACTAGCATTTTATTTGAGTATTTCTTCAGGATAAAAACTTTCCATCCATTTCTGGCAATCACTTCAGCACAAATGGTTTACATGTCACATCATGCAGGAACTTGGATTTCATTTTGTTGGTATAGTAGCAAGAGAGCATAAAATAATTTTCACTAACTGGGCTTACTTTGTAAAAATAAATATATAAATTAGTTACAGAAACAAAAACAACAACAACAAAAAGATAGAAAGCTCTCATCCAGATGAAAGAGTGCTTTCCTGTTCTCTGCCCACTGTTGCATTGTAATTTTCCAATAAATGGCACCTGTTAGTAAATAACATGAATGTAAACCTAGCTAATATGATGGCTAAGAGCACAAAGAACTTTCTTTTGCTTTGCCTTAGTTTTGTGGTTTTTCCCCTTTTATTTTTGGCCACCTCTTCCTGATACTGTGCTTCCCAAATTCCACATATTTATTTGTATGAAATACTCCCTGCAGAGCCCGTTCCATGTTGGGTGTGTTCTGGCAGACCCGGAGACTGTGGCAGCACAGCTTTAGCCTGAGGCGCAGAGGGTACCCCTTCCTGGGGCAATCTGTGGAGAGCTCGCAGTTAACATCAAACACAGGAGCAGACTGGTGGAAATTCATCAGGCACCTGCCTCTAGTGAATCAAAGTCCACATCTGGGCTGTGTTAAAGAGTGCCCTAATAGAACCAGTACAGCGACACTAGATTTTATCTCATCATAATTCAGTAAGGGCATAAATCTTCCTCCCTCTGGCAGGTGGAAGCGCCATTGGTTTGGTATGCACTGAGCCTTTGCTGGTGGTGAGGGAGCACATGCACCACCTTAGAGCTGAGCCCCCATCTCCAGTCCCTTCTTCAGGGTGCATTTCTCCAGTCTACCCCCATGTCCCTGAAAAGGAAAATGAGTCACAGACAGACACCGAGAGGATCAAAATATGTGTTGTTGAGCTTGTCAGTGATGCTGCTGAAAGGTTGTGGCTATTTAGGAATGCAGTATGATTACACTGGTTGGCTTATTTAAGGAAAATCTATCTTCCCTACTAGCACAGGGCTCTGCATAAAAAGTCCATGTATCTGGCTTTGTGAAGGAACAAGTGAATTTCTCTGATATTTTAACATCTGGATAGCTGAAGGAATCTTTATTGAATCCTCCCAAACACCCTATAGGAAAGTTATTTCCATCACATAAAATGAGTCATTTATCTCCGGAGCCATCTTAAGAACAAAAATTATTATCGGCACATTGACAGTAAAGTCTGCAGCTGACTAAAACTATTTCAACATATATTTACATTGACTTCTTTCAGATCAGGTGTTCACTAAGAGGGCTCAGATTTATATGAAAGTAACAATGAAAAAACAGATT